GCAGCACCTGCCCAAGCACACACCGACGACCACGCCCAGGCCGAACACGATAGCCACCAGGGCTTCAAACTCATCCATTTCGAAGCTCACACCCCTGGCTCTTCTTGAGCCAAAATAGAAAGGGGGATAAACAAGATGGGCGCCACCTGACCTACGCTTACTTTCTTTCTTTTGAAAATTCTTTTCTACATAAAAACAATTCAAAACAAGGAAGAACAGGTCTAAAGGTCTAACGAACACTCATCCGCGCCCCACCTCCGCTGCGTAAGCCGCGCGGGCTGAGTGGGCGGTGCCGGTGGGCGCACGACGCTTCTTGGCCATGGCATGGGTGGATGGACAAGGGGAAAATGAGAACACTTGGCGTGGGTAATCATGCCTGGACGGTGGCAAGTTAGTCATGGTCTGTCTTTGTATATGACATTAGACTTTCAAAGTATAAGTTTCAGCAACGAATGGAGTCCATTGGTTTGGTGGTTTTCTGTTGGCTTGATCTGTCGCGATGAAACGTCCTCATGAAGCTTCTCCGTCCTCCGTTCGCTTCAGGACGATGCCGGGTCGTGAAAACACCAGGGCGCTTGCTTCACCACCCTCTCTTCGTGAGCGGGCGACAGCTTGATTCCATTTTTTGCCGATTCATTCCTTAAGGTCAGATATGAATGAACCGAGCTGGCTCGCAGTGAAAAAAAACCGGCATGAATCAGCGAATGCGGCTGATTCGTGCCGATATGAATGTTGGGGCCGAACGTGGCAACGGATGCGGGGCCGGTGGGGGGGGGTGTCACGGGTCTCTCGGACTTCAAAAACGAAGAACCTCCATCCAGTGAAGAACCGCGAACACCTTCGCGTACGAACCCTCGATTCCCTTCAGGCTATATATGGCCCAGGGGTGGTCCCCACACACCCATTTATAGATGGAATGGTGGAATTGACCATACTTAGGGAAGCTGGAATGAAAGACTTGACTTTTGAGAGAGATTTTGTGCAGAATCGACCCCACTTTCTCTTGATGTAATTGACTTTTGGCCTGCGCATGTGTCATTATACTAAAGACATCTTACAAGCAACAATGTATGCGCCCTGCACTACACTGGAGGCCTGTATTGTCTGTGCCTCCCACTCCCCTTCCATTCCACCGGGAAACTCGCTTCTCTCTGAACTGGCTCCCTTTGGCTCTGGTACGTGGCTGGCGAGATCATGAGGCCTAGTGTTAGATGTCACTGTGTTGGATGGTCTCTTTCAGCAACAGCTAGGTAAACCTTAGCTGTTGGTGTGTCACTCCCATTTCACTTCCCCCAAAAGAAACAGTCTCTGGCAAGTTGCTTTGAGAATATCACAGTCTCTCCCCCAAACACTACATGAACCGAATCATGCGATTGCAGGGACCTCTCTCTCCCGACAGAAAGTCTTGTTGTCCAGGGTTAAGCACATGTAAGAACCAATGTCAAAACCACACAAAACGAGTCATTACATGGAATTACTGCCATTTTCTACATAGCCTGCAGGTTCCTTAGGAGAAACACATTCACCGCATCTCTCCTCGCCGAGTCCTTTTCTCGTCCTCAGCGGCCGCGGCGGCCCTTGGGCGATCGAGAGGGTATGGAACGCGCCGGGGCGGAACCGGAAGAAGGGGAAGACATGAAGAAGACACGAGACGAGTGGAGTCACCAGCCGAAGACATGAAGAACACATGAAGAAGTCATTGGTCAAAGGTTCACAAGCTTAGCCAACATTCCTAAAGAGGGGAGACATGAAGAACGTGCAAATACCACTGGTGACGGTTGATTCTTGTTTACACGTCGAACATCTGCACTCTGCGTGAGCGAACCAGGAACGTCTGCACACGATGTCACCGGGTGTGGCCTCCCTCCATCTCCTTCGGTCGGTCGGTCGACCCCTTTTTCCACCCTGCGACCGGCGTCGACGCCCTGCGTTGGCAGGGGGACGAAGGGCGGCGGAAGCGGGGGGGGCCGTTGGAGCTCGCTCGCCACTGCCGAGGAGCGGTGCGAAGCGAGCGAGCGAGCGAGCGAGCTGAGGACTCTGGATTCATTGCACTTTTGATGCACTTTGATAGGTCATACTGCAATGAATTGGTCATTTATTCCTATCATTGATACTTTGTGATAGGTCATTTATTGGAGTAAATCAGGGTGCTGCACCTCTTTTTTTGAGAGAGCCGCTCGCTCGCGCGAGGTGCAAGCACCTCTTCGAACGCTTGAACTTCATGACCATCTCACGCGCCCCCACGTGCCACACGACACTCTGGTGACCGATGTCAGGTCAACTTCCGAAGGAATGCCAGGACGTATTCCGGATAGATGGCCACTCGGTTGAAGGACACGAACTCGCGGTTTCGGAGCACGCTGCGCGATGACACTCCGGGCACGGGCCCTTTGGCCACGTTCACGACCAGGGTCTGGTACCGCTCGGGTGGCGTGGTACCAGGAATCTCCACCAACTGCTTCATGTCCGAATTCACCTGAGAATTGTTGTTGTTTTCTTTCCAAAAACGAGATTCGTTTCCATTGTGATCTTTAAACATTTTTCGGTTTCGTGTGGACGAATCACCTGCAAAAGATCCTGCAAAGATGCGTTTCCTTCTCTTCCAAAGCGTTTTCTTTTTCAGGTCCAAACCTCCCCGACCATCGACCACGCCGCCCCCGACCCGGAGACCATCGACGCGGACTCCGTTCGGTCGAATGGGCAGTGAGTTCTGAGCCGAAGGAACCTCCCAGCTCTGTGCAGCTGTGGATGACCCAAGGTGGATGATGACGACCCCAGCTGTGCCGTACAAAGACCATGGGTGCTTCGGTGGTTCGGTGGTTTGGAGCTCTGGAAGGACCACAGAAGGGGAAGTTGACTTTCAGCTTTGGGCGACGATTCGTCAAAACGGCCATCGGTTTACATCCTGTTGCACCCCACATGTGACAGGAACTGACTTCAAGTTAATTCTACCTAGACCTTCAGAGGGTGTCCTGTCTGGAGATCCCTAAAGTAGTATAGGGGCTTTCATTGTTGACCCCTTTGAAGGTGCTGAGACACTTGATAATTACAACAATTAGACTGATTGACTGATAATCATAGTTGATTGTGGGTGTATGAACAATGTAACAAGATCTCAACCAGCCCCAGAATCCGATCGGTCGGGCATGATTGATCTCGGCAACCACGGGAAGGCCCATCAGGGGGACTCTGTCGTCATGTGCTGCGGGGACAGCTGTGGTGGAAAGGGAAGAAGGGAGAGTCTCCCAATATGACATGAACAAAACATACAATACGTATTCAAAAACTTTAGCAACACCGTAAACATCAAAGCTCTCTTGTAATTGACCAATCTACAACTGGTACACTAGAATAAGCCCGTTCACTGGTCTCCTGTACTTCTCCACGAAGATCTCTTGGCCGCTGGCGGCATCTCGCGGCGGCCGGTTCCGGTCCAACCCATCGGTGTGCAAACACGCGCCGCACACCACGCGGGCCACGAAGGCATAGAAGACGTCCTCGCCTGAAACGGGTGGGCAACGCCACGAGGCGGTTCCAACACAGTGCCAGTAATTTGGGGTTGCTGGACATTCATATGGGTTGGACCCCTCAATCCCATGTTTTGAACGTCATAAATCCACCCTCAGAATCCGGGCCTCGTTCACCAAGATAAGTAGGGTCAGGGTTTGGTTTGGCCCCGCACCCCTGACCTTCGGTGTCGGGTCCGACCCCCTTTGGACCCATGAAGTCCGGACATTTGATTCATACCAGCAGCTTCATGTCGGGGTCTCCAATAGACTACATGTCGGGATCTCCAGACATGAGCACCCCAACAGAGCAAGGTCCAGGTATGTCTTTCTTTTTTCCTGCTTGCCATGAAACAGTGCTTGCTGTCCGAAAAAAAAACACACACTTGGGACAGGTCTGGTGAAGTGAACCACCTGGTGAAAGGAGGGAATGGATGTGAAGATGAAGAGCCTCGGGTGGTGGAACTGGAGGAAACCTTGGTCTTGTGTGGGTCGGAAGGAAAGCCCGACAGAACCACGGCAAGGCTTTGAACTGGGCGTTTGGGCGAAAGCCCGACAGAACGGACGGTCTTTAGTCCTAAAGATCTTCTTTCTACAAGTAGGACACCAACTGCTCATTCTTCTTTCATCTTTTCTTCATAGAATCAGCTTCGTGTGTCCTCCGGAAGAGCAACACGTGTGTCCCACTTGGGGTTTCAAGAAAACGGGTGTTCAACACCTTGGAACCTGAGAGACAGCTGTCGTAGCAAGCTGTCAGTGCAGTAGATTGCGTATTGGTTGCCTGTGTGGTGCAACTTGGTCGACATTTAAAGACTTCAGTTTTCGTGGCAAGCGCAGGGCATTGCCTTCTCAAGGTAAAACAACCACACCTCTCTTCCATCCACAAATTTTAGAACACACACCCACATGATACACATGATCTGCATGGTGGATCTCCCCAACTGTCGGGCCCCTCCCTCTCCGCCGCGGTACCTGGATGCGTTCGTCCCTCCCGGTAGAGCCGCGCATGCAGCTCGGCCAGCTCGGCGTGGCCGGGGCCCGAGGGCCCGGCGTCGGGCCGGGCGTACTGGTCCACCTTCTCGGCGTCCTCGGCGAAGTAGCAGCCGGCGCCGAACATGCCCTTCCTCGGAGGTTAGGGAGAGCGGTCAGAGCGGAGGAGAGGAGAGCGGAGAGGAGGAGGAGATCGGAGATCAGAGAGGTGTCGGTGTGTGGTCCTGTGAGGTATGGGTTTTGGTGGAGAGAAAAACTGTGAGGTATAAAGGGGCATTTTCGTTTGGTCTGGATCCTGTTTGGGGATTCTGTTTGACCCAGGTGTGTGCCGCGTCACACGCGCCTTGGTGGTGTGAGACGTGGTCTGAGACGTGCCGAAGAAGCAGAAACTGAGCTGCTCTTCTTAACTTGCTTTTGCGCCAAGAAGGGATATGTTCACTTCATTTCTCCCGTCCTTCTTT